TTCAGTTGTAGAGTTACTCTTAAAACTTCGTTAAATTTGATTAGCCTGAATATTAATAAAATAAAAATTGTATGATTCAGCTTTGTGTAGAAGAGAAAAAAACATTGAAATGGAACGAATTTGCACAACTACTAAGAAAAGTGGATTTATATGGTTTATATTGAATAAACAATTATAATGAGATTTATCGAAAAGGTAAAATGAGACAATATTTGTGGGATGGAATGAGTATTTTCTTACTTCTTTTCTTACTTTGTAGTAGTTCGATAAATAAAAATTAGGCACAGTTATTTAAATCCAAGCTAAGATGGGATGAGTTCATTTGATTTGATCTACTTAATCTCATCTAGTCTATTTTGGTGTGATACTCGGTATTATGCATATTGTATACGGAGTATATCCCTGGAGTTTTGGAAGGTTTGGTTTGTTTTGACTTGCATGTTTACGTTTTGTGTGGTCCGGTTAAGTTTGATCACATATAGTTTAATCTGAATTAACATTACATTTTAGATGTGAGAACAAGTCCAATTGAAAAAAACCTTCATGCTTTTCAATGTATGAGTGAAATTGTAGAAATTCATATGTAGGAAGTTTATTAGACAACTATATCAATTGTTCAATAAATTAAATATTGAGACAAATATTACAAAAAATTATTTGTCAATGCATTAATAAATAGAATAGAATTACGGTAATACTTCCTTTGTTCTCTAATAGATGAGTATATAGTCTTTGACGCAAGATTTAAGAACAAATTAATAGGGGTAGGATAAAAGGTGTAGTGAGTTGTGTGTAAAGGATAAAGTAAGAAAGAGAAAGAAAAAATAGAAAAAAGAATGGAGGTATATACGTATATTTATTGAAAAAACTTTTCAAAAATGAAAAGGGGGACATGTATTAGATAACATTTCAAAATGGAAAGAGAGACATGTATTAGCGAAGGGAGAGAGTAGAATATGTGAATATATAGTACGAACCATTTAAGACATAGATAATAAATTAAATTCTCATGTTCCAATCGTACAATTTGTACTAAACCTCTTAGATAATGTCCCCAATATAACATCGTTTTCGGGTCGATAAAGTGAAGATCAGAAGAAACACATTAATGTTACTCTTGTTAAAGACACAACGAATACGTGCTCCGTAATATAATCCGTAAAATATTATTCCGTAATATCATGGGCTAGATTACTAGAATAATCTGTCGTTTCACTCGTTTGGCATGCATGAAACGTTTTTCTTTTGGAATATACTACGCATATATTAAATTGATTGACGAATTCGCTATAATTACCAGCACAGATCGAATAGTTACAGAACAGTTTATAAGTATTAATAATGTTTCAAAACTGTTTTTTCCTTGTGAGAAATGAATGGATCGGAGTATAAAATACCCTTATGCATTTGAATATTTTTTTCGAAAGTAATAACGTAATTGGATAAAAACATGTGCCAGAATGTCGCAACAAATTAAAAGTATTAATCTTGCAAATATAACAAGAAGAAAAAGAGCAAATAAGCCCTCCAACTGTTAGCAATTCTGTCATCAGACTCCTGAACCGAAACACTTGCAAATAAACTCATTAACACATTGAAAATTAAGTAATTAAATCATTTTTACCTGCTAGTGTTGGTAATTTCTCATGAGAAAGATTTCTCTTATCTACACAAGCAGGTAAAAAATGATCTAATTGCTTAATTTTCAATGAACTAATTAAGCGGTGTATGAGAAAGTCTTCTCATTTAGGGGCGTGCTTGCAAAATCGCAAAAGGAGGGCTTATTATAACCATTCATGAAACATAAATTTAACAATTTTAGTGATTAAAGTTGGATACTAGTTACTCCATTTTAGGAGTTATTTACAATATAACTCTAATACTTTTGTGTTTTTGGGTCTCAGTAAATATATTTTATAAAATAGAATTAAAGTACGACTTCATGGTTTTTAAAAGCTCCACCAAACATGATAACACTAGCAAGTTTTTTATATGAAAAAATTAAAAAAAAAATTGAAAAATATAGATACAAATTGAAGAAAAAAATTAGAATGTCAGAGTCAATATTTTTTCATTATGAGATTATTAGTATATTCTACATCTATTTTCGGAAAGAAACTAAAGCCATAATATCTTACATTCTCACCGAAGGTGCTTATTTGAGACCAAAAATAGTTTTATGGAGATACATAAATGATGGGGCATAAAACACAAAGGACTGTTAAAATCTTAAAGTTGGCACATATAGATTCCGTTGTAAAATGTTAATGTAAAAGTGCATGTTTGGTATCCGACTTGTGAATAGCCCTATCATACTCCGTATGAAATAGTAATATTATTACTAATTAATACGGAGTATATAAGAAAATACGAACCGTGGTTAATTTAATAACACAAGACTAAAGGTGTAAGAAATGTTTACACCTGCCTATTGATTATAATCCAGAGCAATTAAATGATCGTTTTGTCTTGTAAATCCATTTAGAGTCAACCATATATGTTAGTTGAAATGGTACGATCCAAGGCACAAGTAAAGAGGACAAGTCATGGTATAGATGAAAAACGGGGTATGAGTAAGGAAATGTGGATTCGTGAAAGTGCACGTACATGAAAACTAATATACGTACACACTCCTATGATGTAACAACTACGAGTAATATAAATACATGACAACTAATTTAAAAAAAAAACGGTAATATACTAATATGTATAGTAATGTTGCAAAGAGAAAGCTTGTTAGATGGTGATGTTGCTAAATGTAGATCATATGCACGACAAACCATACTAACGGGAGAAATATCTAGTGACTTTTGAAAAAATTTCAAAGACGGGTTAACAATATAAGTACGGAGTACCTCTAAAAGTTGCATCCTCACAAAAACTAGCCATAAGTTTTGCATCAATTAGCATGGTTCGAGCTATTTCTATAAAAATGGCACTGTTTAGATTTGGCAACACTATTATGAGAGCTCTTCTCATCAGGCCGGCCTGACGGGCTGCCCCGTCCGGCCGAGCCCGTTTGGGCACCTTCCCGGTGGAATTTTTTGATGAAATTTTTTGAGCATGTTCCTCATCAAATCTAGTTTGTCTATACCAAATTTCAGCTCAAAATTCGATCGGGAAGGTCGTCAAATGATTTTTGCAAGTTAACTGGTCCGGAATATGTATTTTCCGGACCAGTTAACTTGAAAAAATCATTTGACGACCTTCCCGATCAAATTTTGAGCTGAAATTTGGTATGGACAAACTAGACTTGATGAGGAACATGCTCAAAAAAATTCATGAAAAAATTCCACCGGGAAGGGGCCCAAACGGGCTCGGCCGGACGGGGCAGCCCGTCAGGCCGGCCTGACATGATGATTTCTCACACTATTATATTGTTGGCTTCCAGGACATGATTTGCAAAAGTAAATGCCAAAGTAAAAAAAAAATCAAACTCACTCCTCTATCACTTTGAATCAGTGATGATATCACTTAACTATATCCAATTTTCATACCCCCTAGAACAATTCCTTAAACCATTTGAATATGCAATCAAAATGATAGAAGTCCGCTTTAGACTTTAGTACAAATGTGGTCGGTCACACTAAAAACTGCACTTGATTATTTAATTATCAATTTTAAAACTAAACTTATTTAGTTGAAGCTGAACTGGCAGGGCGTGATGGGTGTTGCTGAGGCAGTGCTCCAAGGCTGGATGAAGGTCCACAACCACGTGTAGGAGAAGGAAAATCAAGAAGAAAATGGGAGATGGAAGCTACAGGTTGTATAAAGATCAATATATATAGACGATGCACTAGACCCAAATAACTCTAATCGTGGGATTGGCATCGGTGCTAGGGATGAGTTCAGATCTTTTGTGGCAGAGATGAGATGGAAGTGTAGGGGCAATTTTGTAACAAGTTCTACTGAATTGACAGTTATAAGGGAAGCGATGCAAATATGCAATGGGCTAAAGAAAATGATTGGTAAAAAGTTATCATTTAGACACTCGACAAGTGGTGAACGTCATAATTTCCCCAAGTGGAGTTCCTATGATATAGATTTGTCAGATGATAATAGATACATGATGACATTTATCATCAATATTTATCGAATAAGGTGACACATGTGTTAGCTAGGCAATCTTTCTAATTTTTATTGGTTTGAGATTCCACCATTTTATATTCATGATATTCTGTTGAGGGACAATTGTTAATGAAGTTTATGTTTATTTTAAAAAAAAAAAACTAAACTTTCTTGATGGATTGATACATAATTTTGTTGAGCTAAGGGGCCCGAATTGTTGCTGAGAAGCAAGTTCATATTGTTTTTTACTTAAATCATTGGAGCAGGTAATTGTCATTTCTAATTTTCTATACTGTTGGTTCCTATTGGTTGACATGTGCTAATGAATATTATCTAATTTTTTGTTTCTAAAATAATAGGAGAGAAGATGTAATTGCAAGACGAGATGGGAATGAAAAAAAGACCAAAAATTTATGAAATTTAGAGATATAAGAACCTTATAGACAATGTTTTCAATCTTCAGTAATAATATGAGATGAGATAGATAGCTTAATAGATAATACGGAGTACCAACCAAATGTGATTATCTATTAATCCATGGTACACATGAAATTGTTAATGAAGAGTTCATAAATCTATATGGGAAGATTGGAAGAAGAAACCCAAAACATCATCACATTTCTTTACACATAACTAGTCAAAGGGCTTCAATTCATAGGTAGTGTGATTTTTTAGCTTAGTAATAATGGTTGGTTAGTAAGTTCATCATTTATTTCATATCTATTTCCAAAACTTAACATGCATGCTGGGGCAAAGACAGCATAGTAGAGGCATGCTAAGTCCTGATCTCCCCAAATTTGTTTTTTTTAATTATTATACATGTATAAAAATTTGTATAAAGTTATCTCTTTTTGTATCGGCCTAGTCCACTTTATATCCTGGCTATGTCACCGCAAGCATGGTAAATGGTAATTGTTCTACTTCAATGAACTCATCATCAACATATCGCACTTAACATTTCACTAAGCTTTAAGCATTCTTCCCAAAAAAGACATAGTTATTACTCCGTATTATTACGTATTATTACTACTATTGTTACTATTATTATTACACTACCCTTAATTGTCATTTGTCAGCGAGTATTGTTTTGAACTACAGAAACAATAACAGCCACATCATCATGTTTTCCACCCCTCTGGCCCACATATCCAGCCAGCTGGGCCGCATCAGAAAATGGGCTTCTCCTTCCACAAGCTGCGCTTCCCACCTCTTGCGCCCTTGTACCTAATGCCTCTGCAATTTCCTGTGACAAGAAAGACCATACAAGAATGCTTTGAGGGTCACACATATACGACAACATTACCCCAGTGCGCAAAGGCTCCCACCTTCGGTGGGTAATGGGTTCGGATGTACGCAGCCATGTACCCGTGATGAAAATCGAGTAAAAAGTCACATGGACTAGCTAATGCTTCATAAAAAAAAGGACAGACAGTTTAGTGGGTCATTTTTCTTTTATTCCATCATATTCCCAAGCCAAAAAATAGCGAGTCTTAGAGAATTATATATATACGGAGTATATATCGGCTTTTAATGGCCAAAAAGAAAAAGAAATTATCATGAAAGGCTTTTGTGTGAGAAGAAGATATAAATGCAGGCACCTTGGGTGTTTTATTTGCTTTCAATGAATTGATCACAATTGATGCTATTTCTTGTGCATACAAATTGTCAAAAAGACCATCAGTTGCAGTGACCACAATGTCCCCCTCTTCTAACTCACTCTTGTATTCCTGATGATGCACAAAAAGGAAGACAATCATAACAACTAATAGCTCAGTGGAATGGATATACAATATATGTATCTTCTAAGAATATGGAGATATGAATATCACCTAAATAGTCACGATCAAAAGTTTTCGATTAATGCATTTATGTGTTAGGTGTGGCTCAGTCAATATTGTCTTAGGGATCTCCCTATTTCCCTGTACTCGAGTCTTAACACGTTTCCAAGGCAATACAGGTTTATTGTTTTTATGCATAACAATGCACAAATAATAATTACCTCCACAACTCCAAAGGGATTGTCACCACTTCCGATTAGAATAGGGAAATTGAATGCATGGAACATTGGGGATGACATTTTAAATACCACACCATTCCTTATCATAATAAATCCAGAGTCTCCAATATTAGCCACATGGAAAACCTGCCACCATTTAACATTACTTATAAGCAAGCGCCTAAATAAGTTGTTTTGGTAAGGCTTAATGCAATCATATGTATGCGCACCATAAAATTTCCACAAGAAAGTAGAAACACAATCCCACGATCTTGAAATAAAGTCTTGTTTGAACAAACACTGTTAATTCTTGTAATTTACAAAACATTGATTAAGTTGATGACTTCATGATATATCGTAGTTGTACCGTGCACCATAAAAATGGTTTTTTCGATACTGTTCTTTTGTAGTTTTCCCATTCCAAATCGTACTGCTTAACAAGGGTCTTCACAGAAAGAGACTATCTACTCATAGGGTGCAGGGCTAAGGTTTGCGTACATCTCACCCACACAACTACACCAGACCTACTTATGAGAAGGATATACTGTGTAATGTGTATGTTTGGTTTGGTTGAGTAGTTTTGCCTTATACCAAAATTAAAATGATGTACCTTGGTCAAACATGACTCTTGTCTTTTGAACAGGGGGTAGTATGCCATTACATTACACCCTAATCCATATCATTCTTGTACTTGCTAGTCAAAACTATCATGATGTGAAAGCTGAAAACTGTTTTAGTAACATCTTATACTCCCTTTACTAAAAACATGATTTATACCTGACCATCAAAGTGTGCAATCAAAGCTGTTGAACAACCTGGGGACTCTACTTTTTCCATGCTCAGTTCAAGAACTGCCTTAGGGTCAGTTCTGAAATCACTGCCACACTGCAATATAACCTTTTCACAATGCTCCATCAGTTCTCTTGAATATACCCCTGGATAAATACCTGAGGTGATGGAAATTGAATTAGCGTCCATTTGATGATTACTAAAATGACTGAATTGGCTCAGTTAAAGTGGTTGGTGATTTATTGGGAGAAAGGGTTAGTGGATGTGTAATTGTACCTAAAAATGCAACTTTTTTGTTTTAGGCAATACAAAAAATGATAAAATTGCTCATTGCTTGTAAAAATGAGAACCATCCAAAAAAGTGGCAAGAAGACGATTTTACCCTGAAAAGCCAAATCAACCAAATATTGGGGCATTTGGTGCTTTTTGGTAATCTTTTTAAGGCTTATCATCCCATTTGGGCATTACCAAATAAGGTTTCAATTCATGATCCAATGGAGATTTGAGGTCAAGAATGCTAACGAAAACCGCGCAAAAAAAAGGACTTTAGTAAGGAATACCTTCAAGGGACCACTGACCAACTCCATCAGCTATGCCTAACCAGTTCTGATCAGTCATAAAATATGCATCCTCTCCACCTGTAAATGCCTGGAATTTATTATTTATTTGCATTACTTGTATTTCCGTAATGTTGTCGGTTGATCTTCGATCATCTTTTCGTGGAGAATATAGGAGGCATTATTCTGAGATTTCAAAAACACAGAGCATTGTACTTTTTTAGTTTATATATGTGAAAGAAATACCTTAGAGGGATGCGGGAATAAAGCAGCACCAGATGAAAGCACTAACTCAGTCGTTTGAATGGCCTTACTGCTTAGCAAAGACAACAGAAGTGTGATTACTAATATAACAATTGTCCTTGTATAGACGAGAACATAACATTACATGTGGAAGTGTAAAGACCTCAAATCTCAGGATTCATGTGGAAGGTTGTATGTTTCAATAATATTAGGTTGACTCTCTACAAATTGGAAAGAAAAAAAGAAGAATAAAAGTATAGAGAGCTAAACACATTCTGAATTTTTGCTATATAAATTACACTAATATAAATGAAAATTAGGTGTTTTACTTAAATTGAGTACTATGTTTTTCCCAAATAGGACTGCTAGTTAGAAGTCCGAAATATTCGGATAACATTAATCTCAGGCAAGGCAGTATGGTTCCAGAGCAACATAACATTACTCCTATTTAGGAAAAACATACTCCGTATTACACTTACGTAAGGATAACAAATTTGTTTTACTCCTACTTAGGCAAATCTCCTATTAAGTTACACCACTATTTCTTTCCGATTCACGGATTATTATAGACTTGTATATACATCATAGTTCCTATTGGCAATAAATTTTGAAAGTAAACTGAAGTCAATTATCATTAGTTATATACATGAGAAAATTGATGATATAATTTAAGCAATCAGTGATTCAATGTGACTTGAAAAAATATTTTAAATAAAAGCTTATTAATTAACAAGGAAACTTGAATTAAAGAAGCAGATGTGGAGAAAGTGACCTATTAAATACACATACTTGGTTAAAGATTCTACTTGGCCTGATGATACTACTTCTGTAGGCTCAATGGAGTCATCATCATAGGCATTGTATTCTCCATCACTTGGTTGTTTGGAATAGTCTGGAAATCCTCTTGTTTGATGACTAGATGATTCGGGACGTTCACCCGAGAAGTTTTCAAGCAATTCCCCATCTGAATAAATACCTACTTCTAAAAGATTATAGCTGCCCTTATTCCTACTTACTAGTTCTGACTCAGGAATATCACTATCATTAGCTGCATGGGTCAAGAAGCCCTCTTTCTGTTCCGCTTCCTTAACAATGACTTCCTCCTCTTCTTTCTGACAATCTCCCTTAACAACATGAAGTTCTTCCGCATCTTTTCTTTTATCCACTTCCACCAACCAACAGTCTTCTGCCGGATCCCCAAACCGGAATAGAAAACTACCATCATCATGTTCTGGCCCCCAAAAAGAATTAAATACCTCAGCTTTACTTTCTTTATTGAAAAAAACCCAACTTTCTCGGGGGATACATTTGAAAAAATGGAAGCAAGAGAAAATACAAAAGGAAAGATAAAGAAATATACCATGGATTGAGATGACTTCAACATATTGGGAATTGGGTTTGCAAAAGAATGTAATTTGAGGCAGTTTTCTTCTTCTTCGTCTTCCAGATTGTATGCTTCTGGAAAGAGCTGAGAGTGGAAGAAAGGGTATGGGAGAAGTATAGACGGCGGGATAATTGAGTGGGATTGGGAAGTAGGCTACGGATTTGGAAACGAGACCAGCCATGGGGGTTTCTCTCTAGCAGCTAAACCATTTGGTTAAATTGTTGCCAACAATTCGTATGGCAGATTACATTTATTTAAGCACTACTGTGTTTCTTTTTAGTACCTTGTCCTTGAAGATTATAGCTTTCTGACATGCTTATTTGGAAATGAATCAATTTGGATGATCCGGAGTATTTGTGTTCAAACTTTAGATAGACAAACATTACGAAAAACAGACACCACTTGATTTAAATTCATTACTTCAGAGAAATTGAAAATATAATTTAAAAATGGGAGAATTAAATTTAAATCCCTTTCAGCTAAATTTGAATTTACACCACATTAGTCTTTACTCTTTACTCTTTAGTCTTTGTACCTGTTTTTAACATGTATTTCAAACTCTGGGAAACTACTCAATTTCAAAAAAAAATTAAAAAATGGGGGTAGAGTGGTAAACTTCAGAAATCTCTATAAAGCATTAAACTTTTTGGTTATATATGGAATATTTATGTTTAATTGTTTAAATACCTACAACCTGACTGCATTCTCATTTGATGTAGTCCGTATGTAAAAGTCTAATTTATGTGACCAACTAAAGAGATAAATAATCTGAAATAAGCATTCCATCTTTTTAAGGAAAACTCTAAAATATTTTGCCATTTTTTTCAATACGATTATACGAATAAATCCTAAATCCTAACGGCAATTTTTATAAAAATGTGCAGTGTGCGCAGATGTACCATTACAATGTCCCACATGCACAACAAAGAAGGGCGGGCCCATACAGGGCAACGGCTATTTTGTGTTTCACATTCTACCATTTGATCTTTAGACATTTAATTACTTCATCCCCTCAAATCTAAACATTTTGTGTCTCATGAAAAGAAAAAACCAACGAAATGAAAAAAGATTACAGAAAGTAGAAACCATGCATCCTGAAGTAGCTCTATGTTCTAGCCATAAATACTTCACTTTACCTGAGAGGATGTAATGAAAAGCATAATTGATATCTCAACTGGAAAACAGATTGTGTCTTAGCCCAAGTGCCTGTTAGCCGAACTCAAAAGAGCGACTCGGATTTAGAGGGACTTCTATGAGCAAACTCGGTAGTAGTTCACTTCATTTCATGGCAAGTACGTTAGGGACGACTTTGCTCACCAAGAAGCCCCTCTAAATGCCGTATAGCGACCTCAACCTTCTCCATGTAATTGTTATTATAATTCAATATAATTCTCAACAAGTTATCCAGCAAGTTGTGCATGGTACAATCCTTTTATTAACTCAACTGAATAATGTTCATACAATCACCACCCTCTATTAGATACTGACAGCTTGAAATGAGAAATAATAAGGGAATAAAAAATTGGACACACAAGCAGCTGTCGCTAATATCATCCAAATAACCACTACCCCGGAAATGAAAAGAAAAATCAGTCCTTTTTCTAAGATAAACAATAGCCAAGACATCGGTCAAGCAGACTTTTCTACTCGCTGCCACCGGTGGCCATCAAAAACTCACCCTCGCAGACCACATCACCGCCCACATACGCTTTCCCTTCCATCTTTGCAATACCAAAGCGTTTCTGCAGCTTGGTAAGTGTCATTCTCATCACCAATGTATCCCCAGCAACCACTGGCTTCCGGAACCTCACTTTGTCAATCCCCGCGAAAAAGAAATTGCTTCTGGATCCTCCTACTTCAGGTTGGAGCATCACAACCCCACCTACTTGGGCCATTGCCTAACATAAAATACCAGGATAAAGAAAAAGAAAAATCATTTAGATAAAGAAATACTACGTATGTGGTTTGTGAACAGAAGAAAAAATATCCAAATTGTTTAAAAAGGCAAGCTACTCTAGAATCTAGCATACTCCCCTATGTTCATATTTATATATCTAGGTTGATCAATTTCCTATATTACTTTTTATCGATCTAATTATGAAATCTATGCTCATCCATGAAGCACAGAAACTTTTGGTAAAGAGTACGTTTCTGTTTCAGAAACTTTACAGGAACTCTTTGAAAAACTCTTTAAACAGTTATTTTTCAGTTACAAGGTGATATTTCCCGTTTCCTATTTTTTCATGTTTCCCACATTTCCGTGCAACATAGTTATGCTCATTAAAGAACACAAATAAATTAACTATGTGATTATGGGTAAGTATTAAAAGTTTGGATTAAGTAGTCACGCCAATATATTTATATAAGAACAGTTTTGAAGGACGCCAATTCGCCAATGCATTTCTTAGTGTGGGATTTTATAAACCTACACAGACACGGAGTACATACGAACATATACTCAATACATAGAAAGTAGTGATGCCCATACATCTTAAAATTGAAACTGAAAGTAGAGCATCAAGCACAATCATCATCATCATCATCATTAACCCAGTGCCGCAAAGGCTCCCACCTACAGTGAGGTAAGGGGGGTAAGGGAGGTCGGATGTACGCAACCTCACCCATGTACTAAAGCACGGAGAGACTGTTTCCGAATGAACCATAGTGAAAATCGCGTAAAAAATGCATGCAGAAAGAAATGGGAAATTATGAAACATAAATAATAATAAAAATCTTATACATTACTCCTTTGGTCCCACTTTGTAACATACACTTTCATTTTTGGGTTGTCCCAAAATATGAGCTAAGAATGGTCATTTCAAGCACATTACATACATAAATATATATCTAAGAGGAAAAGGCTCTCGACATATAAACTGAGAATGGTCATTTCAATTTTCAATCTTTCTTCATAATGTCATCACGGCATCACACTTTGGACTTAAATTTGATCTCGTCCACCTATTTGTTTTCATAAAGGACCAAAATTAGTTCTCGGTTTTCATATAAGGAAGTATTTTTTAATTGATCTGTATTTCATACGTATGTGTGTATACTGTATGTGTGTAAAAGGTGCAGTTCTGTTGAGAATGATGTTTCTCATGAGAAGTGAGAATGTTGGTTGACACAATGGTCTAATCTGGTCTTAAATAAGCTACTAAAGAAGTTAAAACTTAAAATCACTAAATATGTAAGGAAATTCACAACACCACATATCACATTTAGGATGTTTTTAATTGGACTACTGTAGTTCCAGATCATATAAGACTAGACTTCGACAGTTGTAAAATCCACTGTAGAACAAACATCATTTGCAAACCCAGGGCTATTTAATTTTTAGGCATTTCTTGTTGAGCATTCTGTATATAAAAAAACACCAGCAAAGTTTGATTTACATTGCAATACCTTTTCTATTAAGATCAACACTGTTTGGGCTTAAATCCACAAATTGCAATGTGGTTTCTAATAAGTCTGTAACAGTTCCAAGCGCATCTGCACTCTGCAGACCCTAAAACTAAGGTGAAAGGGGGGAGGGTTGGATTGCATACCTCAATCATGAGAACACCGGGCATGATTGGTCTCCCAGGGAAGTGGCCATTGAAGAACTGGTCGTTAATAGTAACATTCTTTATAGCCACCGCAGAAACTCCCGGATTGTACTCAATCACTCTGTCCACCAGCAAAAATGGATAGCTGCAAAAACAAAAACCAAATTATTCATGACCAAACAACTATTAAAAGTAATTTCTTTTTTAGGGAAAAATTACCGGTGAGGCAAAATATCCATAATCTGATTGATATCCACCACAGTTGGGAATGATGGGTACCCTGGTAAAGTGAATTTCAAGAAAACACGGTAAAGATAGAAACTTTTGAAAAAGAAATTAAAAAGATGGCCATAAGTAAAGCGTACTCAATTCAATAGGGGTTTCAGACTTGGCGGCCGCCGATTCATTGTCGGTGGGAGCACATTTGGAGATGAAACTAATCCGGTTTGTATTGGACCGGATCGAAACTGGTTGTAATTTTAAGGGCAGTGAGCGGTTTAGTGAGAGGGAAGGAGTACTCCCGATGCTGCTCTTGTGGGAGATTGCACATTGAGCATTAAGGGTGGACGAGAGGGATTGGGAGAGAGCGGTGGAAGCCATTGTTGATAACTCTCTCAGATTGTGTTTGTAGAAGAGGAAGAAAGAGAGGTGCGGTCTAAATGAACAGAGATTGATGGCGGAGAGACCAATGGTCACTTCTAACTTTCATGACATACTAGCACTCCTACGGTACTTTGCAGTTTGCACGGAATAAACACTTGTAAAAAACTACCTACGTAGTACTCCTTAAAAGTAAAATTCTACTCCGTATTTTAGAATTATCAAAGGTAGGTCTCAGTCAAATTTTTAATTTAGTATGTACATTTTAATTTGATGTGTCGAATTGTGTAATAATAATAACAAGTAAATTTGAAATTACTTCTCTAATTGTATTAATTGAAGTTATTGTAGAGCATTGTAGCTATTTTTCGCATATTTTTTTGTCTAATTAATAAAACACTACCTCCGCCCCCCTAAGTTTGGGACAAGAGAATGTGACACGATTATTAATAAAAGTGAGTTTATGTAGTTGATATTGAATTGATAAAGTAAGAATAAAGTAGTAATGATTTAGAACCACACAAACTTTGCCAAATAATGTATGGGACAATCTTAGTAGGACGGATCGAAATGGTAAAATGGGACAATCATAACGGGACGGAGGGAGTATATTTTAAATAAATTTTTTCATAAATGAGCAATCCAGCATTTTCAGCCAAAATTTTAACAGAATCGACTGATAAAATCGATTTGAGTATTACCTAATGGGCCCTGATTAATTTGGTTATTATATTTAATAAAAAGTGATGCTCGCTTGAGGAGTATTAGAGATAATTGAGTGTATATACGTGTTTTAGGGAATACTAATTTAATCTAGCCTATTTTTAGGTTATATAGTCATATCTTCTTAAATGAAATTGAGTGAATAATGCTTCCTCCATCATTTATAATTTTATTCAAATTGACTAACATGTAGAACAATATAGTTAAATGTTGTACTATTCTATTGTTTAAGTATGGTTTGATTCATTTCATCATGGGAAAGGTACATATATACCCCTGTAGTATAGGTGGGGGGACAAATATGAAATAATTACATAAATATGACCAAAATAAAGTTGATTTACAAAAATATGACTAGTTACTAGAGTAGTAATGAAATCATAGTAATTCATGTTTACGTTTTGAAATTAAGTTACTACAACACTACGTTGTAGTAA